AGGCAGGTCCAACTGTTTCAAGGATGCGGGTCAAAAAGTGCCAAAAATAATAATTCAGTTGATGAGAGAGGAGATGAGATGACAAAACGAAGAACTGATCAAATATTTGGGAGGCATCCAGCAGTTTCGGAGATCCAATAAAAAAAAGTAATAAAATGTTATTTGGCGGTACAAAATGATCATTTGACATATGCACATCAAATTATAAAATATTTTATAGAGAACTTTTTAATAAGTATAAATTTTATTTAAATTTGTATGGGTTCCGTACCAATGTTTATGCGTTAGACTGAAACGCAGCGCTTACGTGCTTCGATATTTTGTCGCTAAAACTGCTCAGCAGCGCGATTGCATTGAAAAAACAAATTTGAAATGAAAAAATCAAAAATGCCTTTTTTTTCAAAAATTTCAAAATTCTCAAAAATCTTTAAAAAAAAATCAGTTTTCGGTACAGAAATAGTTCCAGCAATTTGCCTTAAGGCATAATGCCATATTCCGCTAGTTTTATTTAAAATTTTTACCAGTCCGTGTAATATGACCAGAATTTCTCGGACCGCAGCCCTCGCCTTGGCCAGCGAATTAAGATGAAAAGACCTTGTGCCGTGTGTGTTCGGTCCGCGCGAGCACAAGGCATATATACGTTTTATCGCCGATACACTCGTACGTGAGTAAATAATATATTCAAATTGATTTGTTGTTTAAACTTTGCACAATATGACCGACAAACAGTCAACCAATCAAACGCCATTAGAACTAAGAGATCTCCACTCGGATCACCCACGAAAACAAACACACATTCAACATTTCGATTCCTAGATATTATATGTATACATATATAATATATACATACTAGATATGTATATATTGTGACGACGTCACCATGACAATTTTGCAATAACCGACTCATTTATGGAGTTTCTGTCTCTATTGTCTTTTTGTTTAATCGATAGCATTGATGCATACATACATACATAATATGTATATGTATATATACGTGGTCCCTAATATACATATTTTCAAATTGCCTTACTCCCAGGGGCTCAAATGCTTCTAGATTGATAAAAAGAATCTCTGAAAGTTTTAGCTCTTAATATTAACTTTAAGATAATCCGCAATCCAACCAAAGTTCCTTGGTTCTTCTTCCTGAGCAAATACTTATTTTTTAAAATATATCAAATTCTTCTTGTAAATTGTTTATTTATGATCAAAATAAGCAGATACAATGTTATTCTCAAAATTTTGATTTACTTGTCGCTGAGTTATTATGTTTAAAAAAACGAATGGAATTATACCTATGTTACTTTCATAAGAAACTTTGGTTGGAGTGCGGACTATCTCAAAATTAATATTAAGATCTAAAACTTTAAAAGATTTTTTTAAAGAAGTTCTAAAGAGTTCTATTTATTCTGGAAACTATGTATGTTCCATTTTCAAGACATCTGTCATGAACATGATCTTGATTAGGAGATAAGCAGACAAAACAAATATAATGAAGATTATAAATTACAATACATTATATTTGTTTTAAATGTAGGCTGTATTTGATTAAACCAATTAAAAAACATTGTCTAGAATCAGTTGCACATTTTTAGATACAAGTTTCTCTAAACATGCATTGTTTAACTTCGTTGGTAGTTCAATGTGGACTAACTTCACGTATGTGTTATCAAAGGCACTTTAGAATGATGCACTTAGGGGGCGCCCATTAATCAGGATAGAAGGATTTTTTGACCACCCTTCTTCTTGGTGATACGTAGTGATATTTAAAATTACCCCTCTTCCTAACTTCCTAACATCACGTATATTTTTAGTACCTAGAAAAATCGTAAAATTTTGGAATATTTTTCTGAAAAATTTTGGATTTTTGTAAAAATAAAAGCACGTGATATCTTACTAGACCCTTCCATCCCCCGCGTGATAAATTGTGATTTTTTCTCCCTTTAATGCTCACGTGATTAATGGACCCCTCTATATATTAAAATTGTTATATGAGGTTTGCGCATTTTGTAGGTTAGGTTTTATGTGTGAAACGCCTGATCGCATAGCAAATACATAGCTTTCTGACATTTTAAAGTTGTGTGAACTGTTAAATACACTTAGCAGCCGATTCTGTCGTAAAATATACCAATGTTATGGCAAGGCTATGTTATGTAGCAGATTTTATACAAAGTGAACATTTTGACCTTTCGAAAACCTTTACTCAAAACCTGTTATACTAATTTTAAAAATTTATGGGCCATTTGATGAATCCCGATAAGGACTCGCGTTAATTAATTCAAGGTAACAATCGGCCAAGTCGATTTTTACAACTTGCAGGAAAGTTCAAAATTTTTCTTTTAGGTTTATGCAAAAAATCTTGAACCAATTTTCAAATTAGAATTCAAATTCAAACTGTCTGAAAGGTATCAGTTGGTAATCCTGCTGAGTAGTTTTTGGTAAAAATGAAGACAGTCATTTTTTTTAATTTTTATTGGTTGCTGAGCAGTCAGGCGTTTTAGATAGAAAATCTAACTTACAAAACGCACTAATGTAAAAAACGATGTTATGATAACTGAATTTTTGAGATATGACTTGATAACATATGAGTAAAGTTGAATTTTATGTGTATGACGCCTGATCATACAGCAAATACATGGAATTTTGACAGTATTTAGTAGCATTTTGTATAAAATCTGGAACGTAGCATAGTTTTGCCATAATATTGGTCTATTTTACGGCAGAAACGGCCCCTAAATCTTAATACAATACTAGAGCATTGTCTGCATTGTATTTCTAAATCAATATTTCGTTGAACTTATTTTAAAAGTTGAAATCACATTATCCACAGTATTTTTTCTTTTGAATTAACTCTTTTGAATTATGTTTTGCATAAATTTTGAAATTTCTTCGATTTTGATCTATTGAATTATCTGTTTTCAATATTTTCGATTTTTGATATATTTATTTTTCAAATTTTTCATCTTTATAGAATGATTTTCAAAATATCATCTTAGTGAGGTTTGATTATGATTCTTCGCTTGGTGGAAAGTTGACTATTAAAAAATGTATCAATATTTTTTTGTAATTCTTAAAAGCAACGATTTTCTACTTTATATAATAATATAGTTTATAAAAACTATATCAATGTCCTATTACCTATTAGGAAGTTTGTAGGAAGAAAATTGTCGTACTTCTTATATATCATTTAATAAGGAAACAAAACAAAAACTATGTTCCGTGGATTTTTTTTAAAAGTTATATGACATGTCTGCAAATTTAATACAAAATGTATTATTAAATAAATGTAATATCTGTAAATATTACACAAAAATGCAAAACAAATTCAAAACCGTCAAATCCATAAACGATTATGATTCAAATAAGTACTGAACTTACCTTCAACTTCCGCCATGACGGGTCCAAGTTGCCTTTTCTTATGCTGTTACTTCCTTATGCCACTATTTACCATCAAAATAACTATTCTTCAGATTTGTCAAATATAAAAATCATATAAAACAAAATAATATTAAAACTGTTGCTGGTGAAAAATCCATGTATCAAAAATATGAGACATCTATGAAAGAATAGTTGAGGTAGATGTGTTTTAGCGAAGTTTTCTTGGTTCGCGTCTTATGGTAATTTTATAAAAAATTGACATATGATGACACTACGGACTTTTGTTTTTGAAATTGAATGATTAGTAACTATTATAATCAAATATTATATAATAATAAAATGTATTTTCTAACTAGAGGTATATGGAAATGTGTCAAATCTAATTCCTTGAACTTATAGCTTTTAACAAATGTCAGATCTGCACGATCTAATTTGCATGAAAGTTGAAAAGGACTTTCTACATCACAAATCTTAAGAAAAAAGTAATTGAATAATATATTTAGAGTCGAAGGAGAAGTTAGTTTTTGCCAGAAAATCCGTTCTGATTCTACCATGAAAATTATAAAAAAACGTATTTAAGTCAAAGTTTAATCTGTCGTCAACGTTCTCTCAAAAATGGCACCGATTTCAATTTTTTTTGGTAAAATTCGATGAACACTCCTGTTTTCTCTTCGTAATTAGCAGATAATGTTTGGTTTACGCTTCAGACAAATTTGTGAACCCATTTCAAAAATTCAAAAACTGTTAGCGAGATATCAATTGGAATTGCATTAATTAATTTTAGGTAATTGGATTGGTCGGACCATTTCTTCATAATTAATTGTAGAATGATTTTTTACATTTTTGATAACTGTATGATGATAGAGTTTGTTATTAACAAACATCCTACATAATTGATTTAATTTTAGAAGTCAATCAAAGGAGTAATGAACCGTCAATAATTTAAAATCATATTCATTATTCAATTCATAATTTAAAAATTTTATCCTCACAATGAGGATATTTTATCATGATGAATTTAGTCGATTATTTACACATATGGGCAAAATTTTTGAATTTTGCCATAAGGCAAAATTCCACTTATACCTAGTAAAAGATTGGGAACCATTGAAAATTTAGAATATTTATAAAACTCTTATGCCTAAGAAAGTACTAATTTTAAGAAAATCAGGATTTTTGTATTTACCCTACACAACTATTCATATACAGAAGTATCCTAGAACTCAACGTCATACCGAAATGGGGTGTCGTCATTACCGGGATTGTCCTGAAAAACATTAAAAGAAATTATCTTACGTTGTTTAGATATTATGAGCTTTTAAGTGCAACCTGGAGGTTTCGTAAAATTGTTACCATTTTTTGGTTATTGTGGTTAATTTTTATTACTTTTGTGTTTATTTAAACTTTGGAACCGTAATAACATTTTAGAAATTCAGATACAATTGTCCTAAGTACTTTTTCTTCCTGACTAACATTTATTTATTGAGAACTTTTCAAAGTTCAAAACTGTATCCTACTTGAAATAGATTTTTTATTCTAAACAAATAATTAGCAATTAATCAAATGATTGTAATAAAACTCAAGTTTTATAACATAACAATTTTATTATTTTAATGTAGTTTTGCATTGATTTTGTTTTTGTTCTTGTCTTCCATAACTGGTATTGGGCCAAATAAATACACAGAACTGTTTTGGGCTTCATTTGAATAATCTCCAATGAATCTGGCATACAACTCTTGATAACGTGATAATGTTAGACCACCTCTTACTCTATCGGCATCCTGAAAATAAAAATAAAAAATAGTATCTATTAAATTAGTACATCTCATTAGTACATTTATACTTGTTCATCTATGATACATCTCTCAAATTATTTGTGGGCCAAATTGTTCGTCGCATTTTTTATGTAATGACAAGTTATAATGTTAAATGTAATGTTATATATATATATATATATATGTTGTTATATATATTGTAATGTAAATGTCCCGTCATTATTATTAGTTATGTTGGTAATGGTGCTTTTCGCCCATCATCTCCATATATCCGCCATTTTTATGTTCATGTAAAACTATGTAAAATAAACTCTCTTTCCATGAAGATAGCGAAACGAGCAACACTAAAATAAATTGGTATATTTTGAAGGAATCATTTGTTACCTATTCGATAGGTTTAATACCTAAAATTTTATTGTGCAACTAGTCGACTATAATTGATGATTGTCAACGTTATCCATCAAAAAATAAATTTTTTTACTACATATTTTGTCAACTATCCACATATAAAGATATTTAGTAAATCTTTTGGATCAAAATGTACAATTTGACACTATAATAATTATATCCAGGTGTTGAAAAAACGCAGTCGCATTTTTTTCAAATTTTTTTTTCTTTAATACATTTTTAACTAAATTTTCTAATTACCAAATTTTATAATTTTATAGTTACCATGGCCATGTGCAATTTTTTTTGATATCGTGGTGATTATCGTGTTAAATTCTTCGTATATAATTATGTTTTCTCTAGAATAAATAAATAAATTACAATCGCTGCTGTTTGTTAATATGAATACCATGCATTCATGATAAAATTAAGCATATTATTTTATAGGAAGTTATTGTAAACAACAAGTATGATGTAATATCGTTATCCTTAAAAATTTAGTTATATTAGTTATTGGAATAATTATTGATCAAATAGGTAATAAAAACCATTCATAAAAATAACAGTGTTAGAAAAACAACTATTCTGCGAAATGCACAAGATCGCTCCACCGTTTCGTCCTCCTTTATAACACAACACATGTTACCAATTACGTATTGTATCGTCGCCTAAATATAACTAAATTCTGAATGGACAGTCATAGAAAAGTTTTTCTATTTGAATCTTTGAAAACTACTGAATACTATCTCCAATTTTTGTTTGTTTGAAGGTAATCCATAATTAACACCAAGGATTGTGCTTTCAAATAAAAAAAGAAATTTGAGAAAATATTCAGTAGTTTTGTTCTATGCCATTTTCAAAAATAAAATTATTTGGCCGACCTTGAAATCTAAGACTTTTGTGAGTATTGAAATCGAGATCTTTGTGTTCATCTTATACACCTAGTAATATTATTTGTTTTGATAAAATTATACAATAGATTAAAATTACGTTAAGACATGGTTAAACTTGTTAAAAATTCATTAAAATAAATCGTAAAAATGATAAATCATTTTAAAATGGTACGATTATAATTATTCGAGTATTCAGCGTTCCGATATTGCGTTTTTCTCTCTAATAAATATTACTCTAATATTTTTCTATAATTTACTAAATAAATACTGCAATTTGCTTACTTCTAGTAAGTTGTTATATGCTTCATCTATAGAATCTAATTCTAGAACAGGTATTCTTAAAACACAATCGTATCTAAACTCGTCAGCCGATATCACACCATCGCCATTCAGGTCAACTACTCGGAAATTGGACTCGATGAATGCCTTCATTGACTGAAAATAAAATAAATAAAATTATTAGTGATAAAAGCATATAAGATTAATAATTAAAATATTATTTTTAAAACCATAGTCATACTTGTCAAACATAATACAAAAATAGGTGAAATTCGTGACTTTTTTTAAAGAATATTCCATATTTTTCGAGTTTTAATAGCTGTAATTAATTCTTTCTCCAAAATTTTTTTTTCAACAATTTTTTCAAAAAAATTTTTTTACAAAAAATTTTGTCACCAAATTTTTTTTCGAAAGTATAGTTCATGGTTTTTCCCCCAAAAATTTTTTTCACAAAATGATCACCTAATGTTTGTAGGAAATACTTGTAATTCAAATTAATTCCTACAAACATAAGGTGAGCATTTTGGGAAAAAAAATTTTTGGGGAAAAAAATTTGGGGAATTGAAAAACTCTGAAAATAATATACATTATACATAACAACATAGTTAATTCAAAAGCAATAATAGCAAACAATTATCTGTTATTATTACCTGTGGAAATTCTTCATAATGTTTACCAACACATGTGGCTTGTACTGCTTGTTTGAATTCTTCAACTGTTATAATACCATCCTATAAATATATATTTTTTTGCATTCTTTAGCAAATGAACTCAAGGTGAACTAATATGCACACCTTTTATATAATCCAAACTAAAATATTTATTCTTATGCATTAGTATAATAGAATATCAAGTTCAAGGAATGAATCATCATAAGACATGTTATACAAAAAATATTTAGGAACTATTCTTATAAGGATTATTAACAGAGTTTTTAACTATTAGTTATGTTATAAAAATTATTGAAGAAACATTTCTCAACATTGATAAAATTGATATAAATATAATAATTATTAAATATTGGCTATATGTTCTAATAACATTTTTTGTTAATGTTTTGCATTTCGCAATTCACAAATATTATTGACTGTGCAGGGTGTCTCAGAACTTAACTTAGGGGCAATAGTATTGACCATAACTGTCCTGCAAAAAATTTGAAAAAAATTATCTCACGTTATTTGGAAGTTATGAGCTTTTAAGAGCAACCTAAAGAGTTGTTGAAATTGTGACCAATTTTTGATTATTGTGGTTAATTTTAATTAATTTATCAACAATAACCGAAAAATGATGATATTTTTACCAAAGCCTTAGGTTGTACTCAAAAGCTCATATATTCCAAACAGTGTGATGTAATTTTTTTAGGACTAAGGTTAAGTCAATACTATCATTCCTTCGACTGAACGTTAAGTTCTTGGACACACTAAATATAGATTAAAATCAATTGTTGAATCAATTGTCATATTAAAGTGTCAAATGTAGTTAATCTATGATGATCTTCTTGATAAGATCAACATTCTAATTTTTTTACTGACGTGTATACTAAGGCAAACTACTCATTGACAATTGCCAACTGCCTGTCACTATTATCATTTTTTTCATATTAATGATTAGTATCATTTCTTACTTGGTTGAGATCCGCTATGTCGGCAATTTCTTCCCAAAGACTGAGCATCAGCCTCTGCTCATCCTGCAGGGAGGATAACGAGACCGAACCAAGACCTGCCCTGACCGTTGATCTCAGGGCAGTACACAGAAAATCGTCCCTGTTTAGATATCCGTTGTGGTCCACATCTGAAAAAAGAATAAATAATTTTTATATATTTTTCCTTCTTGATTAAAGACATTCAGCTATTGCAAAAATTATTCTTTGAGCTTGTGTGCTAATTGACATCACGTTTAAGGGTCTTCTCTAATTTATCATTGGACCTCTAATATTAGTTATATAGAGCTAATTGGTTGATTTTAAAGTCTTTTTATTTAGAAATTGTTTTTGTTAAGAAATTGGTATTTTTTTAAAATATTCTTGTTGGGACGTTATTCATAATTGGTCGTATACATTTGAGTGTTAATTAGTTCTTGGTTCTAGCGGTGGCGTAATGAGTTCAGACGTGGGCTAGCACAAACCATAGCCAAACCCGACATCTGGCAACTTTGATGGCAAATTTCTACTTGAGGTTAAAGATCTCAAATATAACGTCAAGTAAATATCGCCTCTTGTGGGTATAGTTTCATACATAATAAAAATGTTCACAAATACTTTAAGTATAGTGCTGTGTTGCATCCATTTAAAATTTACCTCTAATTATTATTATCCAGAGCTAATTAGTTTATTTTAAAGTCTTCTCATTTAAAAATTGGTTATTTTTTCAAAAAAAAAAAAAAAAAATTGGGATATGATTTGCAACCTGTTCTATACATTTGAGTGTTCATTAATTCTTGGTCCCAGCGGTAGCGTAATCAGTTCAGAGTGGGCTAGTACCAACTCTTACCAGGTTCGTCGGTTCGATCCCAGTAATAGCCAATCCAACATCAGGTAGCGTTGATGTCAAATTTCCACTTGAGGAATAGATCTTGAATATTACCTCAAGTGAAAATCGTTTCTCGTGGGTATAGCTTCATATACAATAAAAATGTCAACAAAACTTCGAATATAGTAAATTAGTCACAACTGGATTGGACAACTACTGGGTTACCATCCAATCAAAAAATAGTTATATAATCATTAAAATAAATACTGAATGTCATAGTGTGACGTTTATAATTAATAGTATAACAAAAAAAATTCTTGAATGGTACCAGTTACTGTTTTTTTGATCAGTGCGTGAACTGTGCAAGTGTTCAGATCGTTGTAGGTGATTTGTTTGTTGATACGGAACAAATATAGTGGATCTTAGTAAATGTTTATACAATTAACTTATAATAGTAGGTTATTTATATAATCCATATTTGTTTCATGTTTTAGCTCTTGAAGTCTTAAAGAAACTGTCGATAGTTGTTTCTTTTGTTCTCGTCTTTAAGACCTTCCGCAAATGATCATCGTACTCTGATCTATTTACCATCATTCATGTTTGAAAAGTAAACATTTACGAGTTCCATTTTGCTAAAAAGTCTTTAATGGACTGAATGCACCAAAAATCTGCTTATTGGTCTTTTCTTCCTAGCTTTTTGATAATCCACATTCAATTTTTTTCAAGATTTTTGATTTATGAATGTGAATTACCAAAAACGAGATGATTTAAATGTGAGATGATTTGTTTGCTGATATGGAACATTTATAGTGGATCTAAGTAAATTTTTATATAATTAACTTATAATAGTAGGTTATTTATATAATTCATATTTGTTGAAATTAGATATATTATCTTGAGGTTTGTTTTCAACTAAAATCTGAATATTAGTAGTTCAGAAATTGACTCATGATTAAGGATTCAGAATTGATTCAGAAATTAACTCATGATTAAGGAAAGATGAATATAAGTCGGAACTATTTGTATATTAGATATGGGAAAAAACAAATTTTTCATAGAGGTCAATTTTTTTCAAAAATTTAAAAAATCTTAAAAATCTATTTTTTTTAAAAGTTCTAACAAAAATTGAATCATTTTTAAAAATTCTAATTTTTGATACGGAAAGTTCCAGCAATTTGCGTCAAGGCACGATGCCTTACACCACTATTTATTTTTATAAATAAGTTTAAATAACAAATATATTAAATGAAAAGTTCTTATTTTCTACTTTCGAAAAAGTTTGATTATCATATTATATGCACTAAAGGTTCTAGCCATTTTTGTTCAAGCAAATTAAATACTAATAGTTTGCTTTATTTCAACCCGAGCTGTCGAACATCGTGCTAATAGTTCACAGATTTCAAAATATCCATAAATCTTTTTGAACAACATACCCGGTATCGATGCCAAAAGCAATAAATTTCGTGCCGATACAAAAGATATTTAAAATCGTTCCTTGGCCATAGTTTATTTAGGAGGTGTTTGTTCTCTGGCCGACAATTCTAGGCAGTTTGGCATTAGAACGTCAGCGAGCCAACTCCTTCACCATGTTGATCTTCTTCTTCTTATTGTGTCTCTATTATTAACTTAACGATTGCAGAGCACAATTACGAATTGTTCGGGAAGTACTGGTCTCAAAATATCAATTTATAAATATCAAACCGATAGACTGTAAGTCCGCGACTGGGTCTTTATTTTCGAAACTTTTTTAACTCGAAAATTTTCATTTTTGATTTTTTTGCGATTACTATAACTTACCCTATGGAAAATTTAGAAATATTTTACTTGAAATGACGAAATGAACAACTGGTGAGGCAGGTCCAACGTTTCCGAAGATCCAATAAAAAAAAGTAAGAAAGAATACCATTTGGCGGCCAGAAATGATCATTAGACATATACACATAATATTATCACATATTTTATAAAGATTATAATAATAAATACAAATTTTGTGTACATTTACATGGGTTCCGTACTAATGTTTACACGTTAGACAACGCGGCGCTTACGCGCTTTGATATTCCGATTCCAAATTAACTATGCAGCGTGATTGCTTAAAAAAATGTTCAGAATTTTCAGAAAAGAAATCAAAATACAAAAAAATCAAAATAATAAAAAAATCTAATTTTTCAAAACGTCAATTATTTCTTGTTCGGAGCGCAATACAAATAATAACAAAGCGATTGAATATAAATTTATACTATGATATAAAACATAGGACTCTATATTATTAAACTCCAAATATCACTAATGGAGAATATATTTTAAAAATATATATAATTTTGTAAAAACAATTAAACCTGGTCAATGCTTAGTAACCGTAGTTTTATGTGATCTAGATTGACATGGTATTGTTTTCATGTGAATTTTTTTCCACATAGAATATTAATCTTCACAAAAAATATTAAACATTAATCGGTATCGGTTATTTAATCAGTTCAAAGTTTATATACATTTGAAAATAAAGATGTCAGAAAAGAGGGATGCTCACTTCATGGATTATCAAGATCTTTGTGATGGACGTTTCGATGGAAATTTTATTCCACTGAGGGTTGCATCAGATATCATTAGGACTGATTCAAATAAAAATGATCCAAAGAAAAATGAAGAGGAGGATGAGATGGAATTCTGGCGATCTGTAGAAGGATCGCAAATATCTCCTCAGAAAAAGACAACATTGGCTTCTTCTCTTGAAAAAACACATGACCTTGTTGGAGAAACAATTTCTGAGGAATCGAGAAAATGGTAATTAAACCTAATTTTAATTTAACTAACTGAATTTTCAAAATCGATTCAGAATTGCGGGTTAAAACGTAGACGAAAAAATTTTCACTTTTTTGCGAATTATAAAGAAACGGCTTGGCCGATCGTCGCACAAAACTGACAAATAGTTCTCATCGAGATACATCGAATGGCTTTTAAATTAAAACACACACATACTTTTTCCAAATTTGGTCTCATTCGATTCAGAATGGCTTGAAACGTCGAGAAAAAATAAAATTAGCGAATCGGATTTTTTGATGAAAACATAAATTTCTTCTTTGGGAAGTTAATAACAACAAAACGATTGAATATAAATTTATACTATAATAAAAACATAGGACTCTATATTTTCAAACTCCAAATATCACTAATGGAGAATATATTTTAAAAATATATATAATTTTGTAAAAACAATTAAACCTGGTCAATGCTTAGTAACCGTAGTTTTATGTGATCTAGATTGACATGGTATTGTTTTTATGTGAATTTTTTTCCACATAGAATATTAATCCTCATAAAAAATATTAAACATTAATCGGTATCAGTTATTTAATCAGTTCAAAGTTTATATACATTTGAAAATAAAGATGTCAGAAAAGAGGGATGCTCACTCCATGGATTATCAAGATCTTTGTGATGGACGTTTCGATGGAAATTTTATTCCACTGAGGGTTGCATCAGATATCATTAGGACTGATGCAAATAAAAATGATCTAAAGAAAAATGAAGAGGAGGATGAGATGGAATTCTGGCGATCTGTAGAAGGATCGCAAATATCTCCTCAGAAAAAGACAACATTGGCTTCTTCTCTTGAAAAAACACATGACCTTGTTGGAGAAACAATTTCTGAAGGAATCGAGAAAATGGTAATTAAACCTAATTTTAATTTAACTAAATCACTCGAGCGGCTCCAGCTCAATGCTCTTAATAGTACCAGAGGGGCTTTTAAAAAAAATTGATCAGAATGTTCCGACTGGCGTAAAGAAAGCTATGAGTTTAAAGGATTTAATGGAATCTGCCAAAAAGGACCTATTAAGTTTGAAAAACTAAATCATCCTTTGGATACCATAGGTGATGTGCAGACTGATTTCAAGACCTTGGATGAATTGACGAGTTCTCACTTGAAAAACCCTGCCATGAGTAAGTTTCTTCTGCCAAATTTCAAATTAAATGAAACCTCAACCAGCAAGCAGAGTGTACCATCAGTACCCGATGACAATGTCTGGAACATCGATTTATCTACAGCATTGATAAAGAAACCAGTGAGAAAACGAAAAGTAAATAATCCAATTTCCAAGCATTTCTACCAGAATTCGCCCTTTTTAAGCCACAGTTTTGGGACGATCCTAAGACTGTTAACGAAAAGAAAGAATGTTGCATGGATATTTCGCATATTTTGAATGCAGATTTGAAATCCATTAAGAAGAGATATTCAAGTTTTGGAAAAGTGTTGACTAGAAAGTACACCAGCGGTTACAAACCCAAAGTTGTGCACGAATATAAAACCGTGCATAAAATTGAATGTTTTAAGTTCGACACTCCTTCACCTGATGACATTGCGCGCAAGCTTCAGAAGAGATAAGAACTTATTATGTTATGATTATCAACTTGAATTTATTAATTTGTCAGTTAAGTACAAGATAATGAATATACAAATAAAAAAGATTTTTTTTCTTTTTTATTATTACATGCTTCATTCATGCAATGCAATTAATGGATAATGTTATGAATGATATAGTAGTTAGTAGTAGGTCTAGGTATTCCATGCTTCCTGGTTCTGTGCTTCGGCTTTTTTCGTTTTTTTTCAGTTTCCAGTATCAGATTTTGGAAGTCTCCAGAAAGTTTTTGATAGTCTTTCTTAGAGTCAATATCTCTGATTTGTATTGAGCCGATAGATCTCTCATCGACTATCTCATTCAAATTATTTATGTAACATAACTTTAGTGAAATAAGTTGGTAAAATTATAAGGTCGTATATAAACTTGATATACTTATAAATCACTCATCTCAATTATATATTATTTTTATTGGCGGTATTATTTTTATTGACGAAGTCGATTGTCGATAAGTTTATGCAAATTTTCTTATAGCGAAATACCATTTAGATGTTATTTTTTACTACTCAACTTTCTTTCGCTACGTTTTTAGAAGAAAGACAAATTAGTTGCATAATGATAATAGATAGTAGTGATTTAGTCATATGCCAAACATTTATGAATCAATTCAGTCCCCTTAATGTCACGTGTTAATTTATGATTATATAAATGAAGTATTATTATTAGTTATAACATACTATTGTAGTTAGTGAAATGTTGAACACTATCTGGAGAGTTTTGAAATGTAGTTCTGGCGGCAAGAGGAAAAGATAAAGTGGACAGACAAATGAAGTAGTCGTGAGAAGAGTGGGCGAATAAAGGACTCTACTGATTGTGAGTACAATCCTGAAAAGAAAAGGAAACTGGATCGGTCCATTCTGCAAAAAGAGTGCTTTCTACACGAAGGCAAAATAGGTCTAAAATTATTGGAGAGGAAAAGAATGTAGATGGTTGTAGAATGTAGATACTTACTCGAGAAGAGGAAGTACCAGGAACTGAAAGGCGAAGCACAAGACCAGGAAGCATAAAAACAGAATTTTGGAAAGGAAAATTTATAAACACGAATTTTTAAAAGTGATTAATGGTCATTAAAGGGCAGATGAGGTAACAAATGCGCAAACTCTCCTGAGCAAGGTCATCAAAAAGTAACGAAACTGGATCTGGGCCCATTCTGAAAAAATAGTGCCTTCTACACGACGTCGTCGAAGGTAAAATAAAAGGTCTAAAAAGATTGGGGAGAAGAAGAATGCAGATGGTTGACCACTTAAGCGAGAAACAAAATTATAAAGAACTGAAAGCCGAAGCACAAGACCAAGAAGTATGAAAGCAGAAGTTTGGGAAAGGGAAATGCGTAAGAGTGATTAATGACAAGGAAGGTAAAGGGAATCATTGATTTGTTTGCTCTCACACCATGGACCTGCCTTCGGCCAGACTACTATTTATTATTATTATTAATAATATCCCTCAAATACATTTTTAAGATTTCCAACGCTTTGAAACCTGATAGTTCACGCATACATAACTAATTAAAACTATGACGTCTAGTTGCTGACTCGTATATAACTTTGTAGGATCAATATATATATATATATATATATATATATATATATATATATATATAATACATATGTTACATATTAGCGAATACATGTGTATCACGCAGGTATTTTTCTTGAAACCACCGTAGGATTTTGGCATATGTCCAATGTTAACAAACTTTCTAACTTTACTTTATGACTGTATATATATATATATATATATATATATATATATATATATATATAATATATACAGCAAATTCGTCGAAAATAAAAAAAACATAAATATTAAAATATATTTATGTTGAATGTGTTGTTCGTCATTGAACATACATCATCATTTAGCATGAAAAACATGTAAATATAAAAAAGCTAATAGGAAAAACTTAATTAGTGAAGCTACAAACGCATTTTGTAATCTTTGATAATAATAAATCGTAAAAACATGTCACAATGTCCTGCAATTTTTCGAGAAGGAATAACAATTTTTACATAAAATGTTAATCAAATATTTTTTTAAATAAAGCTAGAAATATTTTTATTAAGAAAATATAATTTAATATACAAATTAAATACAGTAGAACCCCGTTAAAACGATTATACTTGATGTGGGTGACTTAATATTAGGAGGTCATAAATTATTAAAAAAATCAGGCTAGTTATTGTAGAATAAAATGTATATTTTGATAATATAAAAGATTATTAAATTTTTAATAAAATATATGATTAACAATATTGTATTATTTAAGTATAGCATGATCGTCTTAACGGGGTTCTACCGTTTTCAATATGTATATTAGATTATATTTTCACGCTTAATACGCTACTTTACGCCAGTACTTGCATTTTGAGTCATATAATTCTTATCACGCATAATACGCTTTCTTGTGTATTAATGAACGAGAAGATCAGAAAAACAAAATGCATCAAATTAAAAAATGAAATGTATTATGAAAAAAAATGTTGTCTTGATATGACCTGCATTATATATCTAAAAATTTATTTAATATTAATTATTTTAAATCTATTGTGACTGTTTTTCCAGTTAATCTTATATGTGCTAATTCTTATAATTTGTTAAAAATTTCTATAAATTTCTACTAACTTTTGTAAACATAAAATTACCAACACGAGTTTATAAAGTACTATGAAACTTCTAACAAGAACTAAAAATTCCAAAACTACTATTAATGGGCACAATTAATATTACTAACCCTTTCTACTCGCTAATTCTGGCGGCATCCGAGTGGAAAGGGTCAATACCATATATCAGTAGTTTCCAACCTTGTCGTACCGCATTTTTTTTCAATTGTTTTCTAAATAATACTAGGTGCCCTTTAATTTTCCTAATAATCCAATTTTATAATGGATGCCCTTTAATTTGTCCAATAATCTAATTTTCAACTAATATTATAACTCATTTATCAGGCTAGAAATTAAATAATATAATTTATAATTAAATATAAATAATTAATATTATTGATACAAAAAAATATATCAAAATATACATAAAATTAATCATTTATCTATTCATTTTTATGTCATTTCAACAATTTGGTTTATGTTTTTGAAAATTGTATTTTGAAATTAACTTTGAAAACGCCTCCTAAGCCCTGAAGGGTTGCGCCCCAAAGGTTGAAAACCACGGTCATATACTATTTTTTGTGTTATATTGTAAGAAGTAATAAGTATTTGTATGAAATAAATGCAAAATTAAACAAATTGCAACTATTTTCCTACAACAAATTTTGCCAGAGTAAGTCAGTGTTGTTGCAAATTAATATTAAAATATAAGCTTAAATTAACTTACCATATAAATGATCAATTAAAAATGTAACTCGGTTGTCCCAACTATATGCCATTTTTGTTAAACTTTCTAATATTAAGACACTCGAAGAACTTGAAAATATTTTATATAATTAAAAAAACTCACTTAGTTTTTGAAACCGAAAATATTTTTTTTAATAAAGGATTTATTAGGGGTTTAAGTCGATTCAAATTTTAACTCTGCAATATATAGTGTATGAATATAGTCTCGTACTATTATTTTTAAAATTAATTTAATTTAATAAAATGTGGTTGTGAGGTGTTAATTTTGTTGTACTGCTGGTGTTATTAATGTACTTTATTGTTTATATTTATTTATGGAATTAGTGTTCAGTTTGGAATAGTTACGGATTTGCCTTCTATCTTTAGATCTGTGATGCAGTTTATTTCTATTCGACAAACCGACACTAACACAAACACCTTGGCTAAATTAACCTAACTATAAGAATTATTAGGATTTGGTATTAAAAGAGAAAAAAAATCCAATTTGCTAATTTTATATTTTCCCAACGTTTCAAGTCATTCTGAATCGTTTGGGACCAAAATTTGGTAGAAGTATGTGTGTGTGAGAGAGAGAGCCGTTTTTTTGACCTTTCATCGAAATTTTCTCAAAAACCGCTCGGCCAATTTTGAAATTTCAAGAGTCATTCGATGTATCTCGATAAGAACTATCGTTATTTAGTTACTTCATACAATTTCAATAAAATCAATGTGAATTCCATATTTTGAATTGATCACTTGCGTTTTCCATTCAAAATTATTCAGTTATTTTATTATTCTTTAGTTAATTATTATATTTCTTTTTAGTTGATTATTATCAAAATTTCAGTTATTTCTTTGTTCAAAAATGCTCAAAAACAAATTTCGAAATGGGTTTTATTCTATTTTATGTCTAATCGAAAACAGATTCCGAAATACCTGTATGAGCAATAAAAGAGTTGCTTCTAGAAACGAAAATGTGTTCATACGACGTCTTGGCAAATTTTCTGACTAATCGATCACTTTTAAACTACTCGTAATCAATATGATGAAATTGATTCATTGTTTCAGCCAAATTTTTGTTTGAATTTGCACATTATAAAACTAATTGTGATTTTGAACAAATTAAATTAAAACTAGCGGTGAATGGCATCGTGCTTTGAGGCAAGTTGCTGGAACTTCCTGTGCCGCAATGAAATATTCGAAGATGCCGAAGATGAGATTCGAATAATGTTCAGAAACCTTTAGAACGTGAAAAAATGTAAAAATTTTAAATTTCGATTTTTGGACGATTACAATAACTTGCCCTTAGTTAGTTAGGAGAAAGGACTTCAATAACGAAAAACTTGATGAAAAAGATGCTAAACAAGCAATAAAAAGTTATAGTTACTTTCGTATTTATTTATTTCATAATACAAATTTAAATGTTGGAGATCAATGAGAATCTGATGGGAGTCTCTCAAAAGTCCAATAAGAATCTGATTAGAGCTCAATCTGATGAGAGTCTTGCATGTAAGCCTGCAGAGCTGTAAATAGGTTTATAAAATTAATTCTTATGGAATGACATTTTTTTTAAAAGTAGTAATGAGTTAAAACTTATTATTGCAATAAATTATTTTGAATACTTAAAATTAAGTAATGATCAATTTACCAAACAAAAGCATCAAGATAATCATTCTGGAAAGGTTCTGGAGAAGTCATCAGGCGCATATTTTGATCGTAACTTAATAACTGAAAGACATCATCATCCACATGCAGATTTTTATATTGAATTTAAATTTATGTCTACCCCGTGGCTTAGTGGTTAGAGCTGCGGCCTTCAAATGAGAGGTTTTTTTTGGTTCAATACATGCTTCTGACAAACTGATATCAAGCAGCAGTGTTCTTACTTGAAATTATAGATAGCAAGTTAAAATAGAGCCCTGCCCGGCATTGCTGCAACAATAAAATTATGACAGAATTACAAAAAATGTTATTATAAATTTTTCCTCGTCGAGATAGAGCGACCGTTTGGGTTGCCATCTCATAGAACCCGTTAAGTTCTGACAGGTGTTGAAATATATAAATATAACAAAAATAATTTTGATTAAATTTTCGTACTAACAAGTTTTCTATTGTTGATATTGTTTAATTTTTTATATTATTTAATTTATTATTATCAACAAATATTTTTGTTGTTTCACTTCAAACAGAAATCAAAACTTCTATGAGCTGGTCTGATGTGACTCTTTAACCAAGTGTTATTAGAAGGCAACCCAGTGGTTGGCCACTCTATTTTGAGATTTTTAAAACATTTTTGTGTTTTACGGATGCGATCATATTGCAGAAATGCATCAATAAGGCTATTACTTCTTATCATATTTTAAATCTATAATTTCAGATGAAAATATGACACACTACTGCTTTATATCAAGCAGCCGAGGTCCGTACCAAACTCGGAGCCAGTAGTAGAGCTAACATAACGAACTACCTTACCCTTTTTTATTTTGTATTTATTATACAGTGGTACCCCGCCTTACGAGCGACTCGTCATACGAGTCATACGTTTGCTTCCCTATACGAGCAAAATTTGTGATGACCCTGTAAACACAAACTTTAGTTTTTCAGTTCCTATAAAATATAGTCTGATATTTATATAGAAAATAATAACAATATTTAATAATATAATCGGTTTTATTTATGTTCTGTCACCGTACAAACAATTTACATACAAGTTTCTATTAAGTTTAACTTTATATATATATATATATATATATATATATATATATATTATAAAGCTAGGTATATACATAAAAATATGAAATTAAAATTCCTAATATTGTTTAATATACACATATACAAAATAAAATTTAACATACTGATGAAAAAGACAAGTTGATTGCACAAATTACTTTTTATGCTGATTTTGTAAAATATTAAACTCAAAAAATTGGTTGGTAAAAATAATATACAAATATTCATAATTTTACATTATTTTAGCAAATTCGTATTAAAGGATAGATTACTTAAATCAGCGATTGAAACTTAAACTATGGATTTGTATTTAAAATTATTGCTTCATATTTACTTTGTAAACATGAATATTTCTAATAATAATAACAAAAAAATATAAAATAAATTATAGTTCTTGTACATTTTTTTGGAATATCAAACTAAGCACTTAAAGGTTTTTTGAGTTTCCAAGACTTAAAACAAATTTATTTATTCTTAGAAATCTCAATCAGTTGTCATTTATAAATTTTAATCTCAGCATTATTTCATATTTAATTGTAAGCATATTTCAATATTTAATAATTATAATAATTCAATATAAACACAAAAATATAGTGACTTGAGTTAATATTAGACTTAAGAATAATATAATATTATAATAATATAAAATATAATATGTATTATATGATATGACTTAAAGTATGAGTAGGTATTAACAAAATAATTATTTAAAGTTGAATGGAAATTTTTGTTGCTATTTTTATAATATATGTATACATATTAGGGTGGTTCTTAATATGGATTATTTCGAATTTATTGGCTCCCAGGGGCTCAAATGCTTCCAAATAAAAAAAAAATGCTTGAAAGTTTTTGATTTTAATATTTACTTTAAGATAGTCCGCACATCAACCAAAGTTTCCTGTGGAAATAACATGGGTAAATTTCCATTTGTTTTTTAGAATTCTATAACTCAGCGATAAGTGAATAAAAACTTTGAGAATAACATTGTATTAGCTCATTTTGATCATAATTAAAAAAATACTACTAACTTCGATATATTTTATAAAATAAGTATTTGCTGGGAAAGAGACTTTGGTTGGTGTGCGGACCATCTTAAAGTCATTATTAAGAGCTAAAACTTTCAGAGAATATTTTTTCATCAATTCGGGAGCATTTGAGCCCCTGGGAGTCCTGGGAAATTTCAAAATATCCATAATAAGGACCACCCTAATACATACACATATACATTTTGCACACAATTTTTCGATTTTTTTCATTATGTGACGAAAAGGTTTGTTTCAACTTATGTAACCGTCATATATTTGCATTTATTTCTTCATGTACACGAAATTGTGGTTGGAACTATTTAATTTTGTGTGCATGAGATAAAATTTGCGCAGAACAATTAAAAATTAATTTTAAAATACTACAAATTACTGCATTATTTATAAGTACTACGTATAAAATATTTGACGGTTTGCAACTGTTTCAAATAAGTTTTTCTATCAGTTGGTACAAATCTTTTGAAAACTTTCTTCTTGAGTTTGTTCCGAAATTAGCATAATTTTTGACATATACGGTTTAATTAAAAAAATAATCTAAAATTATATATCTTTACACTAGCAAACGACTATCGGCCGCCCTTGCACTAACCTCAGAACAATCATTTACTTTTCTCCTAATAATTTGATTGTCGTTGTTGTTTTTTTTTCTAATTTAGATACGTTTTTGATTTGTAAATATTTTTGAATCAATCCCACTCTCCAATATAAAGTCCACTACGTGCATTGTGTGTTTCTCTTTGCATTAAATAACCTCTATTTGGCAAAGGCAGTCTGCCGTATATGTGATGGTATGGAGATTCTGACGTCATTATGCTTTCTGAATCTGAAATCCAATGTTAAATATTTAGTTAAAACGATTCCAAAAGCCTTTATTCTAATGTTTGCATCATTTCCAAAAATTCGAAATAAATTATCATTTACCTCTATTACTGATTTGATACAAAATACTGACCTATCCCGCTCTCGTAGCTCCTGGCGTGCCACACGGGTGGGTATTGTTGATGGTGGTAGCCCATGTGGCCACTTGGCCCTCCCATTCCGGCCATGGAGTAACGTTTGTTGTTATTGTTGCTGAGGCCGTTGCTAGGACCGTGTTTGCCGGTTGCTACTTGTTGTTGTTTTGAACTTTGTTTTGTGGATTTGACGAAGTTCGGGACCCTGGCGCGAAGACCGCAGTAGTAGGGGTCATCTGGAAGTAAATGTTGGTAAATTACAATCTGTCTATATTACGAGGATATTTCGTAATTTTTTGTTGGCATGTGGTGTTTGGCTTATATTTGGCAGGCAACTCAGTAGTTGTCCTAGCCAATTGTGACTAATCACTTACACTTAATAGTATTTTTTTAATTTTGCATGATATTAGGTGTAGTCTCACTATTTTTTTAACTTGTGTATTATATATTTAATTATTGTGACATAACATTTTGTTCATCTTACCGTATTTTTTATTATTTTTGCCTTTGTCAGTATTGTGTGATCCTCTGGATACTGGATATGGTTGTATTCTAACGTCTTCTTCGATATCATCGTAATCGGGCTGCAAATTACAAATTAGTTCAAAATTAATATATATTTCTACCCAATCTGTACCTTAAACTAAGCTGGTGGTCATCAATGTGTCACTTCTGATGTGAAAAATTTCAAATATTTAGGGTTAGTGTGAAGTTTATAGAAGTTTTAAACACATCCTTCTGAGTCACTTTCGTACAGCATTCTAGTCACAAACAGTCGAATAACAATGTCACCACAAGAGCAACTTTTTGTTGCCACTTCTGATAGCATACACATGAGGTCAAAGTAAAGATATATTCTGACGTTTGTGTAATGTTAAAGTTAAATTTTATAAGTTAACTAGCAAAACCGCCGAACTCCGTTTTGCCACCAGATGGTTTTGTGAGAAAGATGAAGAAATTTATTGTTTGTTTTGTATTTGAATTGGAAAAATTTGATTTTATTACACAACAGTAATGAATTTATTTCGATTATAAAAATGAAGTGTTTTTTAGTTGAACTTCTCTAAATAAAAGTGAATCCGCAAATTATCCGTTTCATTGAAGTGCTCTTTGGTAAACCACATTTTTGGTTTTTTGGTCTGACGTTAACACAAACAAAGCGCATGGTTTCCGAACTCGTGAATAGGCAACGTATAACTGCCCATGGAAAAACAATGATTTTCTAAATAATCTATTTGAAATTTATCCCGCAAACACTAAGCGATTGGCTTTGCGACTTGTTATTGCGAACGCAAGGCGAACTGGAAATTACAATCGTTAGAAGTCAAACGGAAGACCAGTCGGAATCATTGGTATGTCACCAAATCGGCAGCAATTTTTGATTGAATTGTGAAATTCAGCGCGTGTACATCATTATTCTTTGCGGCAAGAATTGCTTTGACTTAACCAAGCATAATTCTGATAATTCTCACTAATGTTATTACTCGAATTTTTAATTACGGTGCGTAAAGTTTCAGCAATTTGCATTAAGGCACGATTGTGGCTAGCAACTTAAAATAATTATTTTATCCGAGATTTGGCTTCTAGATTAAAAAATGCATGTATTTAAAGCATCAACTTTGCACTACCTATTTTTTGTTGACAAAATATTTCTAAATGCGATGATGCAAAAGTGTATTATCATCAACTAGACTCGTATTATTTTATTATTAACAGTTAATTAGCGAAATCTAAAGCCAGTATTTTAGGACATTTAAGAGAAATAACAAGCATTTCAAATAATAGAAGGGTATGGTCAGTATATGAAAAATTGACTAATTAAACAAGTTCTGGTACATTATATTTCTCTTATTTACCTTGGGTATGTCTCTTTCTGGTAACGATTCTCCATCCCGTTTTCTTTCCCGTGGTGGCAACTCTGGAGGCCTGTCTCTGGCTCCTCCAGAAATACCATTTCCTCCACGTCTTTGTGCCAAAAGCAATTCGCGCGTGCTTGCCACGTATCCAGAGGAGTATGTGCTGAAATATAATATGAATTCATAGCAAATATATCTTTTATAAGATGCAACATTTTTTCTCCAATCCTCACCTCGATCCTGCATAACCATTTGACGACGTCTGCCTCATCATAACGGGCGGCGCACCACTGCCGTTACCACCTCCTTGTGAACTTCCTCCGGAACTGGATCCGTTGTCGTTGCCAGATCGTGGTGACATCTGTCCGTGATGGTTTGAAACGCCGTTTCCGTTATGGTTGTTGTTGTTGCTGTTGTTTACTCCGCCTGCTGTCAGATGACTGTAGGGATCCTCGTCTGGTGCAGGAATACGAGGCCGGGTGCGGATGTCCAGGTGCATTGCTGGTTCTGCTTGGGGCGAGGAAACTGGGAAAGAAATAGATTGCCAATTATTTAGTATACTGCTTGAAGAGATTGATTAAAACATGTCTTAAACAGATAAGTTCTTGGCTTGTTGTACTTTAAATTATTAAATTCTACTACATCTTGCGATACTTCATTGAAATTTGAAAGGGGATATGTTTTAACAAAAAAAAAACACTTTAGAACTAAAATGTTTTCAATGGTTATTTTGCATCAACTATTGTCATCGTGGTGTCTTTACCGGGTTAAGTTACCGGATCAAAATTTTGCAATCCAGTTTTTGGGCTACCGTACTATCAACACAACTTCTTCATACATATCAATAAAGATATGTAGATTCTTTATAGTTTGAGCAATTGTCGTTTTTTTGTTAGTGAAACAATAAAATATGACGAAGTTGGTCGTTGGTTTTTATATTCAAAAATATACCAGCTGAGAAGTATAGTATAGAAAGAATGAAGTATAGAATGAATTAAGACTTCTCGCTGGCAAATCTTGCTACTATGCTCATAACTTGATAATAATGATGTCTAAGAAATTTTGTCGCAAATAATATTAAACTAATTCTTCTATCAGATAATAAAGAAATTTCTTCCCAAATAATATATTATAAATTACTACCCTTACCCATTGGTAACTTTGTCTTCAACATATCCATAGCGACCACATTGACCACCAGGACCCATAATGGTGTTGCCAATTGGTCTGGTGGCGGTGCCAAAACGAATGCCAATGTGCTAAGGCACGCTGTCTCCAATCTACGTCTGTCAGGATAGGACCTCCTCAATTCTCTGGAGACGCTTTGCTCAAAACGTTTCATATCGAACAGCTAAATAAAAATCAGATCATAATTATTGAACAAATTAAACAAATATTGTCTTAAGAATAATCTATAGTTATACCTTTACAATCTTGTCAGGTTCCAAAGGTATTGCAGCTGGTTCAGCTTCTGAACCGTTTTGAACCGAACAGGATTTGATATAGACGTTGCTTTTGGAATATCTACGAACCAGGATATTGCCGGCATCGTCCATTTTTATTTTAACGCCCTGCAAATAATTGTAAATGAATTTTATTACTACACAAATCTTATGTATCGATATTAAAAAGGAATTCGGCTTGAAAATATTCAAATGATCCTAATGGACCACCTGATGACATCCTAATTCCTTTACCACTCACCTGTCCTATGTGTTTCTTGATCTCCTCCGTCCTCTGATCTCTCATGGGATTATCGAAACCGCATAATCCGATTCTGCGAACGAAAAAAGTTTATTAAATTTATTATATTCACATCTGCGATATGTGAAGTCAATTGTTTTTTTATTATAAACATAGAATTGTGTAATGAAATTCAGTGCGTTTCTATAAATAATTTTGATTTCATTATTTTTTTCCAATATTGTGGTGACGGCGTCCGCCGATTGCATTCTGTGGTCGGATAGTGAAATCTCGATTTTATAAAAATAGATATACCTATATATAGATATTGTATATACATAATAATATAATATATACATACAATAGAGCTTTTTTCTTGAATTTCAAGAGTAAGGTTCAAAATTTAAAACATGGTCTAGATTTAGAGTTACTGAGTTATTATAGTTCTAGTAAAGATAATTACTAAATGGTCAGAGGTTGTAAAAATGAAGTAATTTGAATTAATTGTTTTATATTTCTTACCTCATTCCATCAAATCCATCGTCGGATCCATTGATGGTCAGAACAGGGGCTCTGGCATACGCTTTGGCAACTCTTCTGTTTCTTTCTAAAACGATAACTTTCGCCCAAATTTCGTCATCGATTTGAGTCCATTTGTCCAACACTTCTTGTATGTGATCCTGGAAATAAAAGAAACCAAAGCTAGTAAATATATCAGACAAATATGTTGATGATTTAAATATTATTATGTTGTATAGAGTTGTGGATTCAGCATTAGGATTTTTAAAATTTTTTACTTTCTTAAAATGAACTAGATGAATTTAACACCAAATGTAGTAGGTATTGAAAGATGCTAGAAAAAGTATATTATTACATATATACTATATATCACATTTATTACTTTATTTTAGCTTGGTTTAAGATTTATCGCAATACCATTCTAGAGAAAAAAAATCCTTGAATTTCTTTGAATTTGATAAAATAAAAATAGCTCGACCGACCCATCATCACTTAAAACTATCCAAAGTTCAATTATAAAAATATTCTTATATTGTTTTAAATCGGTACAGCTACTTTTAAGCAAATAATAAACAATAACTTAGCAACTTACACACACACATCATTGAATTTTTGTGTCAAACAATTCAGAATGACTTGAAATATCAAATTTAATTAGGTAAATTATATAACTATAATTACCACATTCTACGAAAATATATATAAGGCAACTCAAATAAATTATTTATTTAGAAATTATCAAAATTTTGGACGATGTAAGTTAGTCTTTATAGTGCAGTGGTTCCCAACCTGTGGGGCGCGCCTCCTCAGGACTGAATATGAAGAAATAACTATTTTCTATTTATATTTTTACATACTACTTTTAATAAGTAATTTGTAAAAGTAAATTAGCTTATTTTATAATACTCATTGGTAATTTATTATTGGTATTTATTATTAACATTATAGAAAATATATATTATTAATTAGTTGTGCAAATCTTTTTTAGAAAAATTAATTTTTGGTACGGGAAGTTTCAGCAATTTGCCTTTAGACACGATGCCATAAACCACTAGTTATCATTTTCATTTTACATTATATATGTTAAAATATATAAATATAGATAAATAATATAAAAAAAATAATGATAAATTAAACAAAAGTTAATATGTTGCCGTTTGGTGTTAAATAAATATATAAAAAAAATTACAGAAACTAAACAAAACTGTTTTGATAAACTATTTCGTGAATTTTAATTCACATTTAAATAAAATATTAGAATAATTTAACAAATTATAAAATCTGTAAAAAATTAAAAAATAAAATATAAAAAACATATCCATAACATTGTAAATCAATCATCTACGTAAACACACGTATAAAATACTGAATATTAAATAAAAATACCTGAATAAAGAATAAATATTGTAAAATACGTAATCTATACATTAATAATAATGTATAGATTACGTATTTTACAATATTTATTCTTTATTCAGGTATTTTTATTTAATATTCAGTATTTTATACGTGTGTTTACGTAGATGTTAATGGCCTAAACTGGTTCACAAAAAGTTGCGAATTTTTACATCGCTTTCGTAGTAAATTTATTTATTTATTGTAGGATAATGATACGACAAAATATCAGGTAACACTTACAAAGTAATCGGGCAACACCGACACCAAAGGTCGATGTATCGAAATGGTGATAATATATATATATATATATATATATATATATATATATATATATATATATATATATATAACATGATTCTGCTCTTAGGGTATTGAAAAAATAACAAAATCTTTCTATAGAACGAGGTATGTTTTTTCTTATTGGTGCGAAAACCTCTTAGAAATCTATATTGTTTTCTTTTAGAGATCTGTATAATGTGTATATATATATATATATATATATATATATATATGCATAAGATTGTGCTAAAAGTTAAGTGTCCTTGAACCTGCAAGGGTCATTTCTCTCCTTAAAGCAAATGTCAACTTAACAAATAAATATGTATATGTATATACACCTGTATATATATATATATATATATATATATATATACATATATACATTTACCTGTGTGTATATATGTACGCATTATGCAAATATCTTGAGCACACATCTGAGAGTTGGAGTTATATAAAAAAAATCATTTGCACGTTTAGAATTGTACTTTCCATATACGCATGCATATATATCTCTATATATATATACATATATATATATATATATATATATATATACATTTGAATTTATATATACGCATATCCAACCATTTCAAGTATGTAACTGTCCACCCACCGTATACTTTTGCACAAGTATCTATGGAAATTTATATAAGACTAAAATATATACGTATGTCTATTTAAATATATATATATATATATATATATATATATATATATATCAGGGTGGTCCTTAGTATGGATATTTTCGAATTTCTTTGCTACCAGAGACTCAAATGCTTCGAATTCCAACCAAAATTTTCTGGCTCCTCTTCCTAAGTGAATACTTATTTTATAAAATATATCAAATTTTTATTGTAACTTTTTTATTTATGATTAAAATAAGTAAATACAATGTTATTCTCAAAATTTGTATTCACTTGTCGCTAAGTTATAAAATTTTAAAAAACAAATTGAATTTTACCCATGTTATTTCCTGAAGAAGCTTTGGTTGGAGTTCGGACTATATTAAAGTTAATATTGAGTGCTAAAACTTTCAGAGATTTTTTTTAGTCAATTTGGAAGCATTTGAGCCTCTGGGAGCAAGAAAATTCAAAAACGTCCATATTAAGGACCACCCTAATGTATATGTATAAATGTTAGGACTCTGGTTCTTGGTTCCACGAATTTTTCAAACTACCAACCACGATTAAAAAATACAAATCAGATTAAATTCCTACTGATTCCTATGAAAATCCCAAAATACTTTAAATAAGCTCTTTGATTTTATTAATAAATTAGTAATGAGTAATAGTTATCAGATTTATATTATATTATAATCAGATTTAGTACGTCAGAATCACTATTTATTTATTTATCTATACCGTAACTAAAATGTAAGTTCTCTAATTGTTTTAATAAGTAATTTTGTAAAAGTAAAATAGTATTTAATATATATATTTAAACATTAGTAAATATATATTATTAATTAGTTGTCCAAATTTTTCAGATCTCCTGTGGTTCGAGGGAGAAAACATTATACTTTGCTGCTGCAAAGGTAGGATTTTCATAATTTATAATATATATATATATATATATATATATATATATATATATATACAGTAGAAAATTGACAAAATTCCTTTGTCAAGGCGATCACGTTTAAAACGATTTCTCGCCTAATATACAGCTTTACGACGGTCCTGCACTAACAAATTATTCCCAACCCTAATAAGCATAATAAGCTTCTCGCTTAATTTTATAGTATTTAAAAATCACATCTTTTGAAAGATTCAGTTAAAAATTAATAATATTAGAATGTCCAACTTAGATTATTAAAAAATAAGCTCAGGTTTTAATATTATTTTTCATTTTTTATTTTTTAAATATTATGATTATTTTTTTTTATTAAAGTTAATTTATTTAATTACATTTTCACAAGAACAAGTAATTTAACTTTAACTTTAAGATCGATGGGTCAATTCGGCTGTAAAATAGACCAATGTTATGGCAAAACTATGTTACCCTGCGTTTTTCATATAAAATGGTACTAAAAACTCTGAAAATGCTATGCAGGTTCATTAATAACGTGGCCCAGTAATCACCGAGCGATACCGAGCGGCGGTAGCAATCTGAAATCCACATATATTCCACATGCATGTCACATCGCTGAAGGCAAGCTTGTGGATTTCAGGTTGCTACCGCCGCTCAAATCACACGGTGTTTACCTGGGAGGTTTTTAGGGGGAGGGGGGTTTGACTAAAAATAACCAAATATCAGGTGGCGGAGGGAGGGATATAGCAAGATATGACGTGTATTTATTTTTTGCCTGATTTTTCAAAGAAAAATTCAAGCATTTTAATAAAAAATAAAAAATTTGACAATTTTTTCTCGTAACTAAAAATACACGTAATGTTTTCTGGGAAAGGGTGGTAATTTTGAACATTAGCATGAATCAACATGAAGGAGGGGGATCCAAAAATCCTTAAAAAAATTGATCTCGTGATTAATGAACGCCCCCTAACATTGTCTTTCCTAACATTGGTCTATTTTACGACGGAATTACGAAAGACCCGGTAATACTTCTTTCATGACTTTGATTTATATTACTAGGATGAATTCATAAATATAATCATATATTTGGTCGTTTCCAGAAAAATCGTTTTAACGGGGTTTTAGTGCATATACAATAGAGTTTATTTACTCTGTGGGCGTTACTCTTACGTTTTTAGGTACTTTTATGTATCATCGATATCTATACCTCTCGACATCTGGACATTCCACTTAAGTCCAAATATTTTATATCGATTTTTTTGTAATTCGTATTATTATTCTCATCTTTTATTTAATTTCACTCTATATTAAATTCGCACACACATGCGAATACACACATGTCTTTTATTTTAATACGTGTCATATGTATAAAATGTATAGAGCTCATGTGAAAAATGCCTTCGTATATAAGTTTCCTGTGTTACGTAAACGCGTGAACCTTTACATGCATAAATAACAATAATTGAGATTTATGTATTAATAAATCCATTGTTCGCATTGCGTACTAATATATGAATAGTCTTATTACGACGATCACTAAATCATTCTTTATCCCATGATAAAGTTATAATATTAACTCCAATGGAAAATTCTTCCACTGGATAAGAAAATAATTGATAACACTATATGAACTATCAAGATCTAATATACATTGATGGGGACAACTTATTTGGTTTTAAATTTTTAAGATTCAGATAATCATAAACCAAATGTAATATCTAGGCCTTGTTGGTAATAGTCATTTCAAGAAATTATAGAAATAATCTTGATAAAAAAATTTTTTTCCCTTTATTAATATAATATATTCATATCTTAGTCAGGAAGGGGTGCCTGGTAAAAAAGATTATGAAACAATTTTCATATATACATATCATTTATATCTATTTCATTCTGCAATTATATTTAAATATCACTTCAATCTCTTCAATTTCTTTATAATATTTTTTCATTTTTA